GTTAGGGCTAAGTGTTAAAATATAATTCGGTAGTTAAGATTTAAAACCGACTCTCTCTCTTTTCGAGACACCCACCGCCGGACCCTAGAATTCCCGCGGCTATCCGCTGCACAGACTTAACAAATTCGAACGGTCACAAATATTACAATAATATTCATTCTCTGAAACTCTCTCTCTCTCTCTCTCTCTCTCTCTCTCTCTCTCTCTCTCTCTTTCTCTCTCTCTCTCTTCTCAAAAGTACAATGAAACAATTTCTAACAAATATCCTGAATATAAGCAACGCTATGTATGTCTTCTGACCACAATGCTTACAATCACCATATAGTTTTTATAAAGATGAAATAAATATAAGATAAAGAAGCTGTAAGATGCTCATCTAATGCATCATTGACATTTCCTCACTTAACCATCTAGTCATAATGCAAAAATATTTAGTCATAATGCACCCGACCAAAAATGTCTAGTGGTTCAAAATATTGAAGTGAGGAGGTATGTATGGCGTTGAACATAACTCACTAATGAAGCGTAATTATGATAAAATGTGAGTTACATACAATTAAGATACAGAATTGATTATAATTTAATAATGTAATTTTACCTTGAACAAGATCCCACAGTTTCAGAGCATCAAAGCGCTTCTTGTTCCCATGACCTTGTAGACTGAATTTTGATGCTAAAGTATTGGTCACAAGTTTTGTCAATATTCTTCTGACTGAATTTTCAATACTTTTTTTATCTATATTCTTACCAAGATAGGAACACTGAAATCATATTTTTAAAGAATTAATTTAAAAACAAAGAACTAAAAATAGTGCATCACATACCACTTCAAAAATATTGTGGCAATTTTTTTATGATAAAAATTTCCCCAGAATTAAAGACTTTTCAAAAGAATTGTCATTCGGATTAAATAATATAATTCGACATTGAACAATATTTTTTTGATAATATACAGGGTATAAATATAGAGAAAGGCCTTACTTCAAGAAAAGCTTGGTAGCAAGAAGTTTAAGCCACAAATAATGTCAAAAAGTTTTGATCGAATAAATATCTATCAAATACACTTTTCAAGATAAATAAAATCTGTTCTAGCAAAAATAGATGGCGACAACAAAACATCTAAGCCAATATTTATCCACAAAGCATCCTATGTTTTGCTTAAAGATACATCAATATCTATACATAAAAATAAATGTACTCACTGCTCCAGTCAGATTACTATCATTGGCTAGGAATTTCTCCATCCTATCCAATTCTTCAAAGGTGTTAATAGGCAATGGAGGCATTTCACTAGGACGCTTTATAACTTTTCCTTCTGGATTTATGAAATGACATAGATTCTCCTGGTTCATAATAGATATATCAAGTTTACTGCTCACTCTTCTGATCTCTTTCTTGCACTCTGTAATGGCTGTTCTTATTGAGATCAACTCTGTGAAGGAGATATACGATATACGATAGAAATTAATTCTAAAGAAATTAGGAAAAATATCAGGAAATTTTATGGATCAGATAAAAAATTTACCTCTGTAGAGAGATTGTCCTGAGCTATTTTCAATAGAATTTGCCGTTAATGAAGAAAATTCCGTATCACTAGAGTCTAAAAATAAAATTATGACATTAATAAACTGATAGAAATAATACACTGTTTTGAGAAAAGAGCAGGAAATAATTAAAGGACTTACTAAGAGTGAGAGAACAATTGCTTTTCCTTTCGGAATTGAATGTTTGTAGAGATGCAGAGGATTTGCTGAACATAGTATCAGGCGAGTTAGGACATTGCATAGTATCTCTAGAACTTGACGAATATCCCATGGTAATTTGTTTGTCAGGTGTGATAAGGCAGCTTGTATTAGTAGAACTTAATTCATTCGTCATTGTCGAAGAACTCTTTTTTGGAAATCCTCCCTTGCTCTGTGGTGTTACCTTATGAACTATTCTTTTTTCCTCTTCTTGCAAATCGTGGTATGAACTTGAATGAGGTACCATATCATGTAAAGTAGACTCGTTCTGCTCATTGATATTTACTTCAAAATATTCTCTCTGACTTTCTTCATCTTTATTGTGCAAAGAACGAATTTTCTTATACAGGATTGTATTCTTCTTGGAAGATGTCTGGTTTTTTAAACTTTTTACTTGTTCCAATTTCCGAAGAAGTTCAGAATTTTTATCAGATAAACCTGTTTCAATAGAGACTTCATTTTGTTCATAGGTAGATTTACAAGCATAGGATGAGTTCTTTTCATGATTTTCTTGCAAAACAAAGTTTGCTTGTGTTTTCTTAGGGAGCTGCTTAGATATTAAATATTTTGGATAATTGTGTAAATCTTTACATGGTGAGCAACCAGATAATAGCACCTGAGGAGGTGAAGGTATTTTTTCTTCAAGCTTATGTTTCATCCTTTTCTTCTTATTTTCGTCATCAGATTCCGAGTCTGATTCTGAGTCTAGTCTTGCTACTCTTTTCTTTTTCCGTAATCCCCGCCCTAATTCCACTTCGGATTCATAGTTTGAATCTTTAATATACTTTTTGCATGCCTGACAAGCCTTCAAGTAAGTGTCTATAATAGATCAAGTATTATAATAAGAAAAAACTTGTAAAACTATAATAAGAAAAAACTTGTAAAAC